CTTCCATTCCTTTATTTTAGTTTATTTCATTTCATTTTTGTTTTTTCTTTCATTTTAATAAATTTTATTTTATTGATTATTTTTTTCATTTTATTTATTATTCTTATTTTATTTATTCAATTTAATTTTATTTTTTTCTTTCGTTTTATTTTTATTTTTGTAATTTTTTAATTTTACTTATTTTTTTTAATTTTTTTATTTTATTTAATACTATTTTATTTTAATAAATTTTCTTTTATTTCTTTTAATTTAATTAATTTTTATTTCATTCTATTTATTTTATTTTATTTAACTTTTTTATTTTATTTTATTTTATTTTATTTTATTTTATTTTATTTTATTTTATTTTATTTTATTTTATTTTATTTTATTTTATTTCATTTTTTTATTTTATTTTATTTTATTTTATTCCCTCCGAACCAAATTTAAAGCATTTTTAATTTTTTTTTCTTGTTTATAGGTTTTTGATGAAGTTAATGAGTTATTATTAAAATTTCAATAATCTTTCTACGTTGAAGCGCTAATAAACAAAAACAAAATTTGCAATCTTTGTTTATCAAAATATTTTTGAGTTTCTGAAAAATTTATAATATAATCAATGAAATGCCAAACAACAATGTAACAAATTTAATAAAAAAATGTCAAAACAAACAATGTCAATGACTGTGGTCACAACAAAAAACTCGCACGACAGTTGGCATCATCTCAAATCCTATTGATAGAAAGGTGATAAATGCTGTTTTGATGGTGCAACGACCCAACACCGCCAAAGAGCATCAGCGAGAATAACGTCAGATTGTGTGTACAGTAGAAACAACCAACGGCTCATTATCGTGCGAGTGATTTGAGTTGAATTGCGTCAAGTCAACCAAGCGATAAGATTTTTATGCTCGCTATTCCAGCATAAATTGAATTACAAGTATTCACCAGAAACGTTGAAATGATAAGTAAGCTGTGACATTGTTGTTGTGTGTGATTTCTAGGTATACAGTCTATTCATTGAGCTTCCAACGCAGTGAAAGCAGTGACTAAATTTGCAAGTGAGATTTAAAATTTTCAAGTCGCTAAAAAGTATAAAAATTGGCGTAAGGATATTTCGCATGAAATTGTGTTGGAAGCTTCACTTAACACAAGTAATACATTGACAACAAAATGCAGCAGCAAGCTATCTCTTCTCACCATCCAGCACCTACAGGCAAACTCTCATCAATTGACAGCACTCTTATGGCCCTCTTGATAAGATGCAGCTTTTTATACATTTTTAGTCGTTTTTTTATTTTTCAAGGTGTATAAAATCAAGTTGTTATTGTTTGCATTTTGTTTTGACTACAACGGAAGAAAAATCAACAATTAAGGGCCAAGGGTGTGTGTGGTGTTGTGTTTTGGATGAGGGGTTTGCTTGTGCGAGGTCAGCGCACCTTGCTGCCAGTCGTTCATGCGGTGATTACTTATATTGCCAACGACACTATTTTTCCACGGAACGAATTCTCAAAAGACACTTGTTTATGTTTTAAGATTGCTTTTGTGTGTGTGTTTTTTAAGGAAATTTTTGTTTATCAAAGGAGAAAATGAGGAAAAGAAATAAATATAAACGATTTCAAGAACTTGTCCGCAGAGTACAAATATAATCTCCAAAAATTTATCGACACGCCTTCTGCTCACTAAAAAAATTTCCAAAAGTTTATTATTCACTCCAAAGATAAAAAAATAATCATAAGTAAAAAATTTCTTCAAGCCACAATGGAAGAGAAATGTTTGTGAGCAATTTTTCGAAGAAATTTACATACATACATATGTTTATAATTTGTTGCTAATAAAAATTCTACAATAAGCTGATAAGCTCTACGTGCGGAATTACTTGAACTAATTATTTCAAATATTGTCTATTTTAAAATTTAAATTTTTTGTGAAACTTTTTGCAGTTCAATAAAATAATAATATAATATAACAAAATATATATTGCTAAAAAAATAAAAAAAAAATAAAAAATATTAAATATAAAATGATGAAATAAATAAATTCAATTGTACATATATAATGGTCGCTATATAACCGCTGAAGCAATTTTCCGCCGAGCTTCTCCTCCAATTTGTGGTTTTGCGTCTTGCTGTTTTTCCAATTTTTTCATTTCCGAAATATACTCGGAGGGGTTGACACTCTTTGCCGAGAAGCGACCGCAATTAGAAAATTTAAATAATTTAAAATAATTTTCTACAACTTTTAAATTTGACTTAGACTTTTAATATATTCAGATTTATATTATTAAATTAGACACAATATTCATCAAAATAATATAACATAAAATAAACTGCAATAAAATAAACAAAGGCAAAATAAAGCACAGTAAATTAAAAAAATTAAATTAATTGAACAAAGTAAATTCGAAAAATAAAAATAATTAAAAAATAAGAATAAAAAATATATATATTTAAGATGAAAAAACATTATAAAATAATTTAAAATAAGAGCAAATGAATCAATATAAAATACATAAAATAACAAGAAAAAATAAAAAGATAAAATAATGTAAATTAAATTTAAAAAATTATGAGAAACAAAATAAAACTAAAAGGATTAAAAAAACAACCAATAGAAGACAAACAAAATAAAATGCAATCAAATAAAATAATAAAAATTATTATATAAATTAATATTAAAAAATAATAATATAAATATAAAACAAAATTAAACACAGTAAAATAAAAAAAAAAATAATTTATATTGAGCAAAGTAAAATTTAACAAAGTAAATTTAAAAAATAAAAATAATTAAAAAACCATGATAAAATTATAAAAAAATATAAATTAAAGATAAAAAAATAACAAAAGGAAATAAAAAGATAAAATAACGTAAATTATATTAAAAAAAATTATGTAATTGAATTTAAATTAATATTAAAAAACCCTAAATAATAAAAAAAACAAAATTAAACACAGTAAAATAAAAGATTAAATTAAATTGAATAAAGTAAAGTACAACAAAGTAAATTAGAAAGGTAAAAATAAATAAAAAATATAAATATAAAAGATAAAAAAACATTATGAAATTATTTGAAATAAAAGTAAATGAATTTAAAAAAAGAAATCAATATAAGATAAAAAAGAGCAAAAGAAAATAAAAAGATAAAAAATATAAATTAAATTCAAAAAAATAATGTGAAACAAAATAAAACAAGATTAAATGAATTAAAAAACAACGAATATAAGACAAATAAAATAAAATGCAAATAAAATAATAAAAATTACAATATTATATAAATTAGTTTTAAAAAACCCCAAAATAATATAAAACTAAGTTAAACACAGTAAAGTGGAAAAAAAAATCAATTAAATTGAGCAAAGTAAAATTTAACAAAGTAAATTTGAAAAATAAAAATAATTAAAAAACCATGATAAAATTATAAAAAATTATAAATTAAAGATAAAGAAATAACAAAAGGAAATAAAAAGATAAAATAACATAAATTAAATTTAAAAAAATAATGTAAAGCAATTTAAATGATTATTAAAAAACCCTAAATAATAAAAAAACAAAATTCTTCACAGTAAAATAAAAAATTAAATTAAATAGAATAAAATAAAGTTCAACAAAGTAAATTAGAAAGTTACAAATAATTAAAAAAATAAGAATAATAAAAATAAACAAATAAGATAAACAAACATTTGAAAATAATATAAAATAAAATGTAATAAAGCAAATTGAAAAGATAAATAAAATAAAATAAAATGAATTAAAAAAAGATATCAATATAAGACAAATAAAATGAAAAAGAAAATAAAAAGGTAAAATAAAAGAAATTAAGTTTCAAAACATAATGTGAAATGAAATAAAATACAATAAAATGAATTAAAAAAGCAACCAATATAAGACAAAAAAAAAATAAAATAAAGAGGTAAAATAATAAAATGAAACGAAATAAAATAAAAATATTTAAAGTAAATAAAATGAATAAAAACAAAAAGCGAACAAAATCAAATTTTATGAGATTAGGTGAAATAGAAAATATAACAAAATTAAATAAAATCAAATGCAATATAAATAAATTAATTGAATAGCTCTAAGTACTCTGAATTAATACATATGTTTGTTCGTACGAGTGTCGGAAAATTACCATAAAATACGCAGTTGATAATGGCGTTGTTAGGTGATGTCAACAATGATAGAAGTACAGTTTTATATACGATTATGTCCGTATACAATTGTATGTACGTACGTAAGCCTCACTACGCTTGACTTTAAATATGGTAGGAATACTGCACATTTAAACAAATGCTCATGATAGGCCATGAATTTGATTCGAAGTCATTTTGTGAGTGTGCTTAAATTAGAGAAATTCGAGTGTGGGATAAATTTAATATGACAAAATGCTGAATTCCTTTTTAATACATTGATTATTCATATGATTTTAGCTGAAAAGAATGTACTATTTTGTTAAAATTCAGCGTGTAGTGCTGGATATTTAAGTTGCATTGGTAATAAGTACTTTTTTTAAAGAAATGCTTTAATATTCACTATTAAAATCTGCCTAATTGTAGGCAACATTTTATGGTTTTTTCACTTTTTTGCAGCTTACAAGTGACCGAAAAAACAGGCAGTTAGAAAAAAAAAGAAATTTAACGATTAAACCTACTCACACAGCTAAATGTTTTAAGTAAAGTTGTTTAATGTCTATGTTTTAAGTTTACACTGTGCTACAGCTGACAATAAAAAAACCTTTAATATATGTATATAGACTGTATGTGAAACACAATTCCACGTCAAATTTTGTTGTAATATATATTCAACTGGACATAACTAAATAAAAAAAATAATTGAATATAGACTCCATCCAACCCATTTCCATTGCCTTGTTTCATTTTGAGTGTGATCTTCATTCATTCAAAATTTGTATGTAATTCTTAACTATATATTATTATAAATAAATATTTTTACATTTCTATGAAGTGAAATTTAAAATTTAAGAACATGATCTTTATATATTCAGTTTAAAATCAGCTTACCTGTTACTAGCTTTACGATAGTATTTCTTTTCAGACGAGCGTGACGTCAATATGTCCACAGCGCTATCAATTTCCTCCGCCATTGGCTGATTGAAACGAAACAGGAGAGAAGGCAAGAGTGCCGAATATTAAAGAGAGTGTGAGAGTAATAAATAATAACAGCATTTTAAAAAAAAAAACTGCGCCTAAAAGTATGCAGCAAAACGACTTAATCGTTACAAGCAATTCTATTACTATTACCGCTTTTCTTAAGCCACCAAACTGAACTTTTTGTAGCATAGTTTTACGCGCTTTTTTCACATAACAGTGAGGTGGCATTTTTTGTGATGGTTCTTAGAATAGCGAAAAGTTAAATTAATTCAATAAAAAGAAGTAAAATTATTTAACTTAACATAACAACATAAAAAATAAATAAATAAATACACGAAATTCAGGTTTAAAATAAAATTCGTAGAAAAAATTTGAAGGAAATATATTAAAGAGTAAGTCTATGCATTACAACATTAACAAATGAAAGATTTATAAGAATTAAATTCCAATGAGTATATAGAAAAATTAGTAGAGCATGAATTAAAGTGTAGTCAGCCAATAACCAAACCAAAATAATACGTAGAGAAGCTGAAAATGGTGAGGTTTGAGCGAAATGAAAAAAAAAACCAAAAAAAGTGCATCAAAAGTAGAACAGCGTACGCAATCAGACAAGTGAAAATGACCCACAGAGACAGAGAGAAAAAGAGAAAGACCACTCTCACAGGGAGCCGAAATGCAAAAGTGGCCAGTCCGCTACCCAAAAGTAACTGCAGTGCCACTGCAGATGGCAAGCAAACTTCTATACAAATATACAAAAATTGCAATACCTTTTGCCTTTGTTCAAGTGAACCGAGGCGACGTGAGGTAAGGCGAGTTGCAATGAAGCAAAACAGCACGCTGTAGTAGCTCAGCAGCTTGGCGGAGTAATCAGTGTACACAGCATGCACGGCACACATTTTAAGCTCATGTTGCAGTTGCACACACACACACACACACGCACACTCGCAAACAAAGAGTTCTAAATTTCTGTGCACCAATAAGTATGGCATTGTGACAGAACGAGGACGCATATAAACCAGCTGTGAGAGTTGGAGTATGAAATTGGAATTTTCGCTGGGATTTTCATTATCTCTACGCTTCTCTTTGTAATCTATATTTCAGTGCTCATATGCGAACATTTTCGTAGGAAAATTATAAATTTTTTCTTTTGTCATAAAATGAGTTTATAATGATGACAAGCGGAGGAGTGAGAGAGAGAAAGAGTGTGACATGTGGGATAATATCCATTGTGCAACAGCAAATTGTGAGTATTTTATGATAAATGAGTGAATATTTTATTTTTAATTATATATATATTAATGAGTATGATTGAAGTTATAAGTCAATTTTTTTTTTGCAAAATAATTCTTTCATTTTGATTCCATGAAAATTATTAAACACTCACAAAAACCCATTACCTTTAAAATCCGTTTTTATAGAACAAATTATTCTGCAGGCAGTAAGAGAGAGAGAGAGAGAGAGAGAGCCTCAAAGGCACACATTCGTGTTAATTATCTACGAAAGTTAAATGTCTAATTGTTTTCTGCGGTTAACAAGCATGCTAATTAAATCGTTTTGAATATCACAGGGGATAGAAGTAATCAAATGCCAAGTAAACCCTCCAACTCTACAGATGGTATGTTAGAAGGGGAGATAGAGAGAGGGAGAAAGAGAGAGGAAATATGAGCGACAGAAGGATGGAGAGGGAAAAGAACAAAAAAGAGATGCAATGGCGAGGGATCAAAAGAGACACAAATACAGAGAGAGAGAGAGAGAGAGAGAAATGACAAAGAGTTTTAAAAACACAAGCAGGGGCAAAGAAAAAAGAGAAGTATGTACGACAGAAACAGAGAGAGAGGGAGATATAGAGAGAGAGAAAGAAAGAGAAAAAAACAGAGAGAAGGGAAAATAGAGAAAGGGAGAGAAAAAGAGAAAGGGAGAGAGAGAGAGAGAGGCAGAAACAGAGAGAGAGAGACGGAGAAAGAGAGTGAGGAAGAAAGAGAGAGAGAGAAATAGAGTGAGTAAGAAAGAGAGAGATAGAGAGAAAGAGTGAGAGAGGAAGTATGAGCGACAGAGAGAGAGGGAGAGAGAGAGAGAGGGAAAAAGAGAGAGAGAACCCCGCCATGATGCAATAAGAAAAGATGATGCACGTGCTCGGCTCCTTGGGCACAAGGTTTCCATTCTGGGACAACAATACAATTTCGTAATTCGTTAACTAAATATACGTGTCTTTAGTTATAATTGAATACGCTCAATAAAATGAAACAATGTCCAGATTCTACATTTCGTACATTTTTTGTTGGTCAAATTTTGAAGAAAATAATTTTGAAGAAAGTGAAAAACAGTACTTCTAAGGGGGTCAATATGACGAAATTAGAGTGAAAAGCTGTCTACGTACATCGAGTTACTGCGAATGCCCTGGGTAATTCGTATTACTCTACAAAACCTATTGAACACCTAGGATTCTCAAAACATCAGAAGATGATTGAAGCTTAGGGAAGTAAAAGCAAAGAAAACTAATTTAAAATTCCGGGAAGAATTCATCCCTCTAACTTCCAGATTATCCAAATTACCAGAAAGTGCCTGAAGTTTAGTCTTACGAAACCAAGGAAACCATCCTGTCAGCCTCTCATTACGAGGCTAATAAAAATTCCTCAATCCTTTGGCGGCGGCTAAAACTCATGTCACAAATCAGACGAGGAAAGAACAGGATCGGTCCGAGCCCCCATCAAAAGCGATGGATGTGACGTAGAGTAGATATTTCTTCTGAGCTCTCGTGACGTACCCAGGTCAGAAGAACAGTACTAGTTCCAAAAATAGCCCCAACGTTTATCTGGCTTTTAGGTAGTCAGACCGCTGAAAATTATTCAAGGGTAAGCTTAAGGGGATTCCGTACTAACGGTTTATTGAGGGACTTTCCAGCGATATGCACAATTATTTCTATATTCTTGTGCTCCTGTGCTACAATTCGCTTCGTTTTTTTTCATTTTTGGGAAATTTAAAGGTTAGGCGTAATAATTTTTTAAGCATACATACTTACATATATATATGTGACAAAGTGGTTTAGATAAAATTATACAATTCTGGAGACTCAAGAAAAGAGAAAAAAAAAAAACAATTAGATTAAGAAAAGTAAAATCTCTAAGAAACCACGTTAAAACGAGTTAAAGCTCAGCCGAAAAAAAAAACAGCAAAGGAAAGCATAAAAAAGCTCAAACCCAAACTAAAAGCCACAACTAGACACTTACCAATGCAGCTACATTTTCGGCAAGGCGAGCCTGAGCGCTAACGATCGATTGCTCCGAACTTGTCATTTTCGTCTTCAACGTTTGACGTCGCTGAACTTTTGTTGTTGCCTTTCGTGCCAGACGACGAAGTGTTGCGGTCAGTGAGTTTCTTAAAGCAGACACTTTGCCAACGGTTTCACTGCGTCTCACTACTGACTTTTTTCGTTTCGCTCTTTTTTTTTTTTGTTTTCTTTGAAAATGCGCTTGTCAGCAAAATTTTGCAGAAATTTACCGTTTTTCTTTTCCCTTTTGCTACAATTTTCAATTTGAAAGTTTTACCGCTATTTCTTCGTGTATTTTACAGTGTCTTTCTAAAATTTGGTAATATTCTTGTTAATTGTGTGGAAAGGTTCTTGCGAATGCAGCAGTAAAGGCAACTTGGTGTATAAGGTGGAGTGGGTTGGTGGGGAATGTGGGAAACATAAATTGCAATTAATTAGAAAAAGTTTCGTTTCGAAAGTTGCCAGCAACTTGCTGGCGAATGCAAAGGAACTTCCGATTTTTTGTGTGGGTGTTTGTGTATACTTGTAGTAAAGCAGTAGAAATCTCTGCATGGTTGGTTGGTGCGCCGAAAGCAGCTTAAGTGGAGTTTGTTGTTATATATTTTTGCAATAAACACGTTTAGATACAAGCATATTCATGTTTAAAGCAGCTTTCGTTTTAATACAGTTTAAGCTGCAATGTTAAGCATTTATTGAATGCGAACGCCTAAATGTATGCAATACATAAATATTTAAAGTGAATATTTAACACAGAGTGCGCATTTTTGGTTTTTATATGCAGTTAGTATGTACATACATACGTGCAGAAATATTTATAAATATTTATAATTACTCATATATGCATATGTATGTATGTATGTGCTTTAATATAATGTTTATGTGTATGTATCATATGTATTATACATAACACTTGGTTCGAGAGCCCATAACACTGATAAGATACGAATTTATTTTGTTTACAATCATATTTTTTACACAAACCTCGAGCCATAAAATTAATTTGTTTGTAAACGGCGACTAAAATTATCAACGGTACTAGATGAATATGTCAATTTACAAATTGATATCAAATGGCCGCTTATAATTAGTACAGTTGCTGCGACCACAGCTTGCTTGATATGATCACCGAGGCGACTTTTTTGTTCTTCAATCAGGTGACCTGTAGGACCTTGATCAAAGGTTCTAGGAGTTCTAATTTTTTCTTTTTTTTTTGTGCTTCTACATTTTTATTCAGTCCTTCTTCTGAAATTCTGAATTCTGTAGCAAACTGGCGTAAAGTTCGAAAATGTTCGGACGTAGTTGTCTTAAAAGACAACCAAAATTTTGTCTTTTTAGAGAAATGACACCAATTTTTTACCGGCTACAAGATGCAAAACCACAAATTGGAGGAGGAGCTCGGCGGAAAATCGCTTCAACCAAGGGCTCACTAAACTGCCTACACTCTATAGTAGCGGAAAAATGTTGGGAGTTTAATTTTTCTAAGCAGGAAGACCAGGAGGGGGATGAAGAGGACGAGTCGATCGCCCATCTCTTATGCGACTGTCCTGCTTTGAGCAGGGCGAGGTTTCGTAATTTTGGGATCCCACTGCTAGATGATTTATCGAAGATAGCTGACGTCAAGATCATGGATCTAGTGAGGCTCAGAAGAGAATCAAAATGAATGGTCTCCCCTGCAACCTAATCTAACATAACCTTCATTTGTTAACTAAATTGTTAAGAGGTGTTATCAATAACCCATTCCTACTGAGCGAGCTTTACTTTAGCATTCCTTAAAGATCATCTGACAATTTAGGCCCCTGCCACTGTGTTCATGTAGAACAAACATTGAAATGCACAACCCTTTTAGATCTTTGTGTGGCGATTTTAATACACATTTCGTCAACATGGATTCCTCTGACTCGCCTTTCTGTATAATAATCAAGTAAATTCCTTCTCTTTTTCTCCCATGTAATTTTATAGCAGTTGATGAACAGATCTGTGACTGTTTAGTGTAAGAGACAAGTGTAGCCACGACCTACCGCGATCGGTTTCGGGTTCAGGGCACCCTGGTTGAGTTAGGTTACTGGTTTTCGTTCACTGGTCTATTGGATTTTTCGATTATCACTCAGACTCGTCCTTTCGCCGGTTGGACGGAAGGGGGATACGCTCGGTTCGACGTATTTATTTGCTGAATTTTTTGTTGTGACCTCCGAATTCTACCAACCACTGAGATAATTCTTGGTCTACTTCATCCACCTCGTCGGCGTTGAGGATCACTCAAAGTCCGATTGCATCACTGCATGATCAAAAATAGTGGCACCAGGGCATTTTGCTCGCAGGATGAGTTCAGGTTGCTGCCCTGAATTATCTGATAGTCTGCTGGACTCAGCATGCATATGTAAATGTGAGCTAAAATCATTTAGCTAATAAATACATGCATACGCACACGAACACACAAATATAAATATATATTAATTTATATAAGTATCTACGTACGTAAACATATATTAAAATTAGAAATTGTAGAAGCCCAAATGAAGTCCCTGGCGAAGAAGAGGAAGAAGTTGACAAAGATAATTTGAGGATGTCACGCGTTCCATAAATGAACAATAACATTACGAAATCAGTGAAAGGAATTCTGGTTAAATATATGTATGTATGTATGTGCGCGTATACTGAAAACAAAAAACCAAGGGACGGCATGAAAATTGGAAAATCTATAGACAAACACCATTTTAAAAATGTACTTATACATATATACACATGCGTACATATGCAGTAAATACACTCAGTACATAACACATCGATACAAGCTCACCAACAACCCACGCGGGGGGGTATCATGCGTGACACAGAAGCCAAGCCAAGCACTGCGGGTGGCAGAAAAACATGAAATATTTGGAAAATATGCACAAACACGAGTTTCAAATGGAAAATTTGCAGAACGTAAAAAGTTGAGAGAAATGTATGAATATGACTAAAATAGGAAAATATGTATTTTGTTATTGAATGTTTGTATGTATGTGTTTAAATGTGGTTATGAGCATATTAGCTGCGCCTACAGCATATATATACTTATATGTGCATATACATATGTATTTACACGAACGAGTATATATGTATCTACATATATGTATGTATGTCAGTGGATGGGCGAGGTGATTAGTGTTTATTGTTTATGATGTGTACCTTTCGCAAGTAGGGAGCTGAGGCGGCAGAAAAGCCTTGCGTTTTCTTAGTCAAACGCCGCAACGAACACAAAAGCCGCATAAATCAATTTAAAAAGTTTTTCTGGTTAACGCTTTTTGTTTTGCGGGCACAGCTAATTTCCGCACAAGAGTTTTGCACCGATTCGTTTCGCCTCGTCTGCAAATTGGCAACAAAGAAATTTCAGAGCTGTAGCCTCACGGTGCGTGTAGCAAGCAACTTGCGTAATTTCAGCAGCAATTTTCTCGGACGCGCGCACACCCACACACACACACAGCCGCACAGCCGCACACGAAGTGAAAATTGGAAAAATTTTGCCAAAAGATTTTCACTGGAAGTTTATATGTACGTACGTACTAAAAGAATTCACCGGCAAATTTACACGCACAGCACACAGACAATCAATTTTTGGTTGATTTCTTTCATAAAACCGTTTAACTGCAGTTTTTTAATCTCACACAATACTTTGTTCACAAAAGTGGCACAGAAAAGCTATTCGAAACACTTTTGATTCGCAGGAAAATGCAAATTTTCTACACTTCTACGTTTTGTCCAACAAATTCTCTGACTTGCCTTGCCTGTCTTTTCAGATTTTACACATTTTTGACATTTGCGGCGCAGACGCATTGTTGCCGTCATTGCACAGCTGATTTTTGTTGTTTGTCGCAGAGGCAAAAGCACATGACGCGAAAGCAATTGAAAAGCATGGAATGAAATGCACATAATAAAGCAAATTAAAACAAAAACAAAGCATGTATTTATGTATGTATGTATGTATGCATGAGTGAGTATTTCTTTAAACGCTGCCGACTGCCGGTTTAACAAGCAAGAACAAAGCAAACCGGATCGCTGGCAGAGAACACTGAAGAAAGGTATACAAAAGTATGTACATATGTATGTGTGCATGTTTGCACATTTAAAAACAAAAACAAGTCAAAGTTGTGTGCCAGCTTTTTGTTTGTAAACAAAATTATTCATCACGCTTTGGAATTGAAAGCTTCATATTTGTGAAGTGTGCCCTGCAGGAAATCGGAAATAGAATTCCTAATGATTTAGAAATGAGGTAAAAAGCTCAAGGAAGCAGGTACATGCAGTGTTTCAAGTATTTTGTTATGAAAGAAAAAGGTGGTGGACATTATCCGATATGTAGACAACCACCACCGATGAATGTCCCGCTGAAAACCACCTGCACAATAGCTGTGGTCCCTCTAATTCGAAATGAAAATGAGACGATGAGAAAATCTGTAATGGGCACTCTCCGATTGCTGAATAGAAATCTACTAAAATCTAGAAGTGCTCACTACAATTGGCTGTGTTTTTTATGATTGCAGATTTTTTCGTCTATCCAGGGAGAAGCACTAATACCAATAGTAATGTCACCCTTGAAATCTAGCAGGTACTACTACTACTACTTGCTACTTTGGACTGGACAGGCAATTGAAAAGTAAAGTCCTCTCTCGGCGAAAAAAACCAAACTCTGCAAGTCTCTCATCATATATGTAGGTCCTAATATATTTTGCAGAAGCGTGGACGATGTCAACATCTGATGAGTCGGCGTATTCCACAGAGAAGATTTGCAAACGATTTATGGTCCTTTGCGCATGGGAAACGGCGAATATTGCTCACAATGGAGCGATGAGCTGTACGACCTTTACGTGATATTTACATAGTTCAGCGAGTGAAGACACAGTGGCAAGATCATGTCGTCCGAATGAATGAAAGTGCTATAGCTTCTAAAGTGTTCAACGTAGCAGCCACAGATGGAAGTAAAGGAAGAGAAAGACCTCCAGTCTGTTGGAAGGATCAGGTGGAGAGCAACTCGCTTTCACTTTGTGAATTGAAAACGCGGCCGCCTTGCTAATTTTCGACCACTTTTTGGAACTTATTGGGCGATATATCAGCCTTGACTTGACGCATAATGGGTTTTAAGTGCCCAAGTGTTAAAGGTTTAGCCGCACAGCCCCACATGAAAGTTCTAAAGATCAGAGAATGTACACAATCGGCTGCACTTTCATTTACAGTGGCGATATTTGCAATATTTGAGGTGGAAAGAGCAAAATTTTGGATCCAATGCATATCTCTATGTATGATATTAAGAAATCAACTAATTAATTAAACGAAAAAATGGGATAGATACTGAGAGATGAAGAGGGAAGCAAAGCGCATCTACAGCTAAGAAAAAGAAAGAGACCGAGATGCCTGAGTATGTAGAGCTGACCGAAAATGGTAATGCTCAAAAATTCTATGAGAAGATACGTCGTCTCACGAAAGGTTTCAAGACCGCAGCAGACGGCCTACCGGCAGAACTATTCAAACATGGCGGTGTAGAGCTGACAAGATGGACGCATCAGCTACTTTGCAGAATACTCGTATGGTCGGACGAAAGCATGCCCGATGATTGGAACTTAAGTGTGATCTGTCCAGTCCATAAAAAAGATACACCACAGTCTGCACCAATTACCGTAGGACAAGCCTCCTTAATATCGCCTATAAGGCCCTGTCGTGCGAATTGTGAAAAAGACTGAAGCCCACCGTCGACAAATTGATAGGACCTTATCATTGTGGCTTCACACCTGTTAAGTCAACCATTGACCAGATATTTACCATGTGCCAAATCTTGGAAAATAACCGTGAAAAGAGGATCGACACCCACCAACTCTTCCTTGATTTTAAAGCAGCCTACGGCAGCATGAATAGGAGCTGCCTTTAAGCTGATATGCCTGAATTTGTTATCCTCGCAAAACTTATTCGGCTGTGTAAACTGACGCTAGACAACACCAGAAGCGCAGTCCGAATTGGGAAGACCCTCTCCGAGTCGTTTGTTAACAAACGAGGTTTCAGACGGGGTGACTCTTTGTCGTGTGATTTCTTCAATTTGATGCTGGTGAGAATAATAAAAGCTGCAGAGCTGAATAGAAAAGGTACAATCATCTATAAGAGCGTACAGCTGCTGGTATATGCCGATGATATCGACATTATTGGCTTATTGGTCTGATAGAGAACAAGGACAAGACGAAATATCTCCCGTCCTCAAACAAACAGTCATCGCTTTCGCGACTTGTCTCCTACCTAACTGTTGACAGTCATAACTTTGAAGTCGTAGATAATTTCGTCTATCTAGAAACCAGCATTAACACCAATAACAACGTCAGCCTTGAAATCTGAGGCTGAGTCACTCTTGCCAACTGGCGCTACTTCGGAAAAAAATTACTCCTCTTAATTTAATTTAATATTTATTTTTTCTTTTTAAAAAAATTTCCAAACAGGTGGCAACCCGTCGCTGATCTAATCGAACATTTTTTTATGGTTCAATTACTTGATATTTGGTGCATATTTAAATATTTTTGCTTGAATTAATAGGAAGACTATTCTTCTCTTCGGTAATCGGACTAAGGGCCGAACTACTAGAATAATTAAGTTCATTTATTAGCTAGATTCAATTGGAATTCGGGAAGACTACTCTTTTCTCTGGATCAAAGACTTTAATCCTTTATCTGTTAATTATAACTATGCATAGCTCGGTTTAGTTAAATTTTTTTAATGATAGCAATACTTTTGGAAATGTCCCCAGCGACCTGGAGACTGGTATGTTACCGACCAACGTAAACAACACTGAACAAGCCCTACAATCAACAAGCAATATGAGTGGCAACCTGTAAAATGATCCCTCGGCCGAGGTAATTTCACACCAGTTACTAGAAATAGGGAGCGTCGGAATGCCAGTTTATTGGACTTCAGGTCGGAGTGCATTATCCGGTAACTTCTCTAATTTTATGAAATCAAATCAAATCAAAAGAAAAATGGATACACGGTGTATTCCCAAATATCAAATTCAATTCTAGGCGTCATGGGTGACTGAGTGAAAGGACAATTTCCCTTACAGCAAACTTAAAGATCTAGGGCCTCAACTACGCTATTCAGTTCAACATTGAACCGTTGATGAAGCAGAGCATGTGGACGTCCTTAATCCTCAAACCTCTATTATTTTATCCGATATTTCCTTTCAATTCAAGTGACTACATTTCCCTGTTGGACTAGAGTAATAGAGTTAATCTATGGGTTATTCTAATGGTTAATATAACATATAATTGTTTGAACTATTTACATTTAGGTACGGCTTGCTTCGCATATGGATAATTTTATGTCATAATTTCTGGGTTGGCAGACCAGATAATCTCTTTAATTGTGTGGCCGATAGTAAAGCCAAAAATGCTGTATCCCATCACAGCTATTGAGTAAATAAAATTATGATGAAAAGATATTAAATATAGCTGGTACAAATGTTAACTTCAGTACAGGTGGCAGCTCTGCAGAATTGTAAATCTGAAACATTCTGGACTCCACATGAACACTCACACGCACAAATCGTAAAAATCGTATACGCAATTGAGCATGAGTCCGGTCACATTTATAGAAAAACTGTAAATGAAAATTAATTAAAAAACGGTGGCAACTCTGCGTAATCATAAACTTAACTAATCTCGAATCTCTCTTGAATTACTAGGAGACGTTTAGTCATTAACACACGTTCAAAATATAAGAAGTGGCACGAACCTTTGTCGTATTGGTCTTGAGGATCTCCAACAAATGCGGGGTTTTTTTCTATAAGGAGCTTTTATTTCATGAATATACACGGAGAGCCTGACATTCTCTGCCGAGGGCCAAACGCAATTTGAAAATTAATTTTCTATAATTTTGGATGTTGGTCCGACCAGGACTCGTGCCCTGGTCTTCAGAATGGCAGACAGTACGCAATGCTTACCACCCGGCTATTTCGGCCGCCAAACCAAATACCCTCCATAAATTCGGTTGAATTAATTAATTAAGAAATTAAATTTATTAACGAATAAATCATACTTTTGAGTCCAACTAAATTTGAGGTTAAATCTTTTAAACGAACGAATTTGTATGAAGCGAAAAATTGAATTATTGAGGAAATTTCAAATGAGTTTTTGAGTGAGGCAATAAAATTAATGAGGCAACAACAACTACAAAGAACACATTCAACTTTATGCTCTCGTAAGGAGTGAGAGTGAGGCGGAGGGAGCGGGTCCTACGCAAGATGCCATTTAAATTGGAAACTAACTGTAATTCCTCTATTTGAGCTGATTTAACGGCGTTTATGGTGTCTTATTGTTGCTTGTTGTTCTTGTTATTTTTGCTTCACTCACAAACTTACCGACATACTTCCAAGAACTTACATATTTCCGAAAAGACAGCCAAACAAAAGAAGTCTTTAACTCAAAACCAAATCAGTCGCGGGGCGGTCGGAATGGAGGCGTAGGGAAAGCGTCAGAAAATTACAATTTCATGCAGTTTTAAAAGTAGTTGAAGCTATTAAATTGCAATTTAACTTTGTTGTTTGTTTGGTTGCTTTTGTTGTAATTTTTTGTAACTTTTTAATTGCTTTCGTGTACCTTTAGCAATTAGTTTGTTTCATTTTATTCATTTTTTAATGTTAATTCTGTGTTTTATTCTTTTGACGAGAAAATGAGACGCAGAGAGAGTACGGTGGGAGATAGTAAGTTAGAGTAAGAGAGAGAGATCAGAGCACTGAAGTTCAACAAAAGTAATGGAGAAAAGCTCATGCT